ATTTAAAATAGCTCACTTTTCACTCTATGCATGGTCACGGGGTTACATAAATGTGAAGTATTAGGATAACAAAAGTGATAAAGATAGAAAAGCGAAGTAAGATGTAACAATAATGAGCACTGATGGCGGCATTAGTCATTAGTATTAGATATAATGGCCATAATATTGTCATGGTTTTTCACAACGTTGGCCATAAACATGTAGCGAACTTTAATGACGTTTAATGGGATTTTCGTCTATGTTAGTAATATTATAAAAAATTAGGAAATTGATCACGTATACACAGCAATACTTTTAAATATATATTTCTAAGTCTTATTGCAAATAAACAATGCAGACGAATAAATATAAATAAATCTAAAAAGGGCGCTTCGTGTAGCTGTACATGCTACGTTTGCAAAATCCAGTTTTAAATAAAAAAAATGTACATATAATATCAATTGTAAATATAATGTTGTAATTTTCTGTATTTTATATTTTATTTTATATATTATACATATGTATATTTTATTTTATTCTATATTTTATTATATTCTCAATATGAAAGCTCTTCATTCTCTAAAATACTGGAAAATTCCGTAAATAGATTTTTCACGCTCTTAATTCTAGAAAACCTATTCTACAAGGATAGCACGTAAAATTCCAATATATAACTATATTTATATAACCGCGAAAACAAAAATAGGAATTTTATCTTTGTGCCTATAGTACAAACACTCGCGACTCAGTCGACACTAACGAAAAGTAAGATAAAATCTATGTTATAATTTCGCACTCAACACTATAAATGTAATATAATACATTATATAACAGTTATATTGTTGAATGCGAAATTATAACATAATGTTATGTTACTTTTAAATGGGGAGCATGTAACTGGCACAAAAGAGCGATGCAACAATCTGACAATGAAATACGCACGTGTTGAATGGCCGCGTGAATGGCGTTGTTTCACAGCATCTCCTAATTACCTTCTCATTCTCGCATACAACCGAAATCTCGCGAGCCTCCTTGCTTTGCACGAGTCTGAACGCGCGAGCACGCGTGCTCTATTCGCATGAGCGAGTGTAGAGGAAAGAAAAAAAAATTGCGACGGCCGACGTCTCAATTCCGAAGCAAGCGAGCTGCCGATCGATGCTTGCTTGTGCAACAACCAATCGCCTTTAACGAGATTCCGCCGTTTTAATTAACGAGCGCGCGAGCCAGCATCGTTCGCTCGTTCATTCGCGGTAATCACGCGGGACGAAGATGAACGACGGAGGACGCGAGCGTCGTCCGATGAACACATCACGACACACACGTGTACGCATCAATGTACAGGTATAAGACGTCGGTAGCCGTTTTATCTTACAAACGCCAGCACCGATGTTGTTTCCGGTACGACGGCATTCTCCGTGAATATCTCGTCCTCTCGTGGTACATACATTTGATAGGGAGAAAGTTTTCATGGGACGAAATTTAAAGAAATTAATAGTGTAGTTTTCTTTTTTCATTTATTTACCTTCTTTTTTTTAAAGATAACGAAATAGCCACTTGACTTTAACAGATTACAAATACATACATACAAGAAGACATATATATTCAAAAAACTTGTATAATTTCAATTCTTATGAAAATCAATTGAAAATTTAAAAGATGGAAATATTGTTGATATCATTAAAAATATATCTTGAATGAATTTTAATTTTTTTCTTAAGACATGTGGTTTATTGTCTTTGTAATTTTTTTAGTATATTTCCTTTTTGTAAAACATTATGCATGTATAAAAATTGTATAGTTTTAACTTAAAATCTTAACTTCAATTTTAAGTTTGAACGGCACGTGCTATTCCTTTATTTATGATAGTGATATTCATACTTAAGAATTCCTCAAGGACCTATCTTTCGTAAATGAATTCGCGAAGAGTCATCACGAATGTCGAGAATTTCGGGGAGACGTTTTTTTCTCTGCGTTTCGGTTCTGGATTCTCACAACTGTCACGAACGATTTTCGCCGTCGTTTTGTTCGGTAACGTAACCGCCGAACACAGCTTCGCTTTTAAGGCGGAGTTACGGTGCGATTTGTAGACCCGTTCACGACCAGTAGTTCCTTTCTGGAATTTAAGGCAGGCCTCACGAAGGACACACATAAGTGTGTCCGGTAGACGAAGAATCGTTCGATTCGTGTAGCTCCGACTACGTGTCAAGCGATTGATACTTTGAGATTTTCATCGAAGAAAAATTAATGACAATTATACAATGAGATTGTGCGTAGTTGTTTATAAAACTAAAAGTTGAAGTTTTATATCGAATTGTAATACCAAAAATTAAATGTATATTTAACTAGCTTTTATCTGGATAAAAACATAATTAATAATATGTAATTATTAAGTTGTTCGAAAAGTTGAAAATTAAAGATCGATAACATACAATAATCATTACTCTGAAAGTAACACAACTTAAAAGATTAAGGGCTATCATACACAAAATGACATAAGCTGTATAAGGATGCTGGACCAATGAGCATTTTATATAATCGATATGACGTTTTTAGCATCGGATGTTCATTTATATTGTAGTTATACAATTTACATCATTTTATGATGATCCTTAGTTTCTTAGAAAAAAAAAAAGAAAAACTATTTTTCTACTTAATAGAAAATTATTGATTAATCAAATAATAGGTATCGGCAGAAAGAATTATAATAATATATTCATTAACATGATGAAATGTTATTTTCATTTTACAATCCTTAAAAAAAGCACTTTTTTAGTTACGACTTTTTTAATTACTTTTTTCAATTGTGATGATTTATAAAATTAAGCAAGTTCATTTTTTGATAATTGATAGATAAATTTTACTTAATTCATTCATAATAATAATTCGGAAATTACATTTGTTGAGGTGTGTCACTTTTGAAGTAAGAAAATGATATGTATTGTTAGAAATGTAAACACGAGCTTCCTTTACATATAAATGAAGCTCATTATGAACGAAATTAAAAATAATAAATGATTTAACTGAAAATTAAGTTGCAGTAGTTACTTAAATGAAATGAACGTGTACATTAAATTTCATAAATTTAATGTACACGTTTATTTCATTTAAGTAACTACTGCAACTTAATTTTCAGTTAAATCATTCATTACTTTTAATTAAAAGTATATTTGTGTACATATACACAAATATACTTTTTAGTTATAAATACATTAAATTTAATGTAAATTTAATGTCATGAAATTAAATTCAAATTGTGTAACTTAAAAGTTAATAAAATTTAAGAACATTTCTAACAGTGTGTTCTCTTAAGAAAAAGAAAAAGCGATTTTAATTTTATTATAAATACACAATTGGAACACACAAAATTTGATATTAAAATTTTTTACGTAATTTTACTTGAATCATTATAAAAATAAAATTTTACCTTATTATAAATGATAGTGCTGTATAATATAATGTGTTCTTCTAAATAGATATTCTAGAATTTTATGTCTTGTGAATTGCATTCACATTAGGATTAGGAGATATACATATGAATTCATGTATATAAAATTCATATTTTTATAATACATATTTAAATATGTATTATCATTCTTTTTCACATTTGTTTAATCGCCATTCCAAACACACATTATATATTTCGATAATATTGTAATATTGTGTTGTATAATTGTAATATATATATATATATATATATATATACAAATATAATTTTAACGAATTACTTAGTTAATTACTGTTAATTTTGCTTAATTATCGTTAATCACTGTTAACATTGCGTCTCTCATTAGGCACTTCTTGTAGATCGAATATATAGTCAATAAAGGCCAGTAATGTACCAGCAGTTATAAGAAATCGTTTTATTCCGAATGCTTATTGTATTTATTTCAATATTTTTATTTTAATCAAACGTATCTATAATATGTAAAACATCTTGTATACATCGTTAGACAGTGAGGACAATCTGTAAATAAATGATCAGCATATTTTGTGGGAACGGGACCGGGGCCAGTAAGTACTTATTTGTATTATACTGTAGGTATTATATAATAAAAATATTATTTTTTTATCACTTTGTAAGATATAATATAATCCGTTTATATAAAACACGTATCCATTCCTTTAATTTAAGCAATACACGTTTTTTTCTGTGAAATTTACGAACACTTAAAATATTTATATATATATATATTTTTTTCTCCTAAATAAACAATCAAGCGTACGTCAAGCGTGAAAATGATTTGATTATTATAACATATAGAAGTATTTTTCAAATACATGTTAGCGGTATTGAATAAAAAAAATGATAAAAATTTTCTAATACCGTCTAATTTCATAAAAAGTATGTAGCATTACTTTGTTGAAATATCGTATTACAATTTTGTTTTCTAAAATCAATATAAAGGATCGAATCTCACATTCTGATGTCTATACACGATAATTCACAGCAAAAATCCTCGAGAATATACAATTGTCTAAGCTAAATTTAACTATATATATATAAATATAACTATTTAACGTGAATCAGACGATACAGATGGTCATATTTAATCATAACTACAATATGAATATTCAAATAGTACGTGTGCTAGGAATATTCAAACGATTTCACGAATACGTTTTTACTTATATTCACGTGTATGACGTGTTTTTTGCAATGTTCTATTTGACGAATACAAATCCTCTCTTACGTATAGTTTCACAAAAGTAATATGTTTGTACTTTCTTCTATCGAATATTTCTCATATAAGCACAGAATTATAGAATTCTTATATCTACGATTTCTCGATAATCAAATGCCGAAATCGAATGAGTATCACGGAAGTACTGAGAAGGTAAGTTATATATCTGATATAAGTAAAATATAATTATGAAGGTACAAAGATAAAAAGTAATCAGTCTTTGCTTATGCCGCTGCTTGAATATGTATAATTACATAAAAATATGATTTGTGTGATGAATTATCGATATAATTATTTTTCGACGTAAAATATGAATAATTTCCACAAACAAAGAATAAATCACATAATGCAAATATTTATTACAAAAGCGATGTATATGCAAATGAGTTTATCGCAGCAACTCATTTAATGATTGGATTTCGGAGCAGGATGACTTGGGGTGAAAACCTCGTAATCAATTACCGAGAAATGATAATCTCCCATAAGCAATTGATTAGATGCGTGGTCTCCGTCGTAACTATGCGGGAGATTGCTATAGCTTTCCTTGTTGACATTGCAGTTGCTTGCTATAAGCAAATCAGCTCCAGCACCAAAGATCGGCCCTATGCTATAAAATAAATTACATTAAATCAAATTAACTTTAAGAATTCGATAGCGATAATCTTTTGAAAAATCACGATGGTTCTTACTCCGGATGATAGCAGATAGCAAATGATTTCTTCACGATGTCGAATTTTGTCGGCGGTACATCTTGATTATTTATCAACGTGAAAAGGAAACTCTTTTCCGAAGCGATGTACTGCGCTTTTGAGTTAGTTTTACCCCATGGAACATCACTGAATCCTCCGCATATCTCACCACGTACTCCCTGAGATATAATAAAACGCACTTTGCTACTACTACAAAAAAATTTGGATGAAAATTTTGTACTTACCAGTACTATCACATACGTCGGGCAAACGTTATCACAGTGTCGATGAAAAGATGCTGCTGAGTAGCCATGAGTAGATGCTCTGAAAGCAATGTTATTAATGACAAATACTGTACTATTTTTTTTGTAGAACATCTATCAATTGCTTATATAAATTAAAGGAGCAAAATTTCTTCTCAATTTATTTTCCAAAATTGTCTGTTCTCCAAAACTTCACAACTTCCCTGACCCGTGCAATTAATATCGTATGTATTTTAATATCGTATGTAGTTTATTAAAGAGCAGAGTGAGAAACAAATTTCCTCCTCCAATATTTAATTAGAAGATGCTCTATATTATTATACTGTCTGCATATAATAGAATATATTTTATTTTACAAATTTCATATACTTCGTCATAAGCATTAACATTTTCAGTATAATTTCTACAATTATGTAATCAATGTTCAAAATTGATGCAAGCTATATACAGAGCACAGAAAAGAAAATTATCAAGCGCAAAATTATCGCTTGATAATTTCTTGAGTGAAATGTTCAAGAGATAGAAATAAATTTATAATATTATTATAAATCATGTTATCTGATCTTGTCACTTTTAAAACATTTTCTACTCAATATATTCTTAAAACCTACCGATAAACTAACCGCCAGCCCTGTTTCGACACGCCGTACCACTGATTCAAAACCCGCTGGAAACCGACCTTGTCTCTGGAGAGAATCTGCGAGCCCGGGAAGAGAAACGGGCTCACTCGTGGCTGTAGTCGTTTGTCAGAGCAAACCTCCGAGTACTTGTTCGGCAGAGCTGCATACCTATACCTAAAGCGAAACGTCGAGATCGAAGGCGATACCGCCAAACGGTGAGTGCCGCCCCGTTAGATCGTACCTTAGAAATTTCGAGCCGCTCGATCGATCGGGATTGAAAAATTCGTACCTCTCCAACGACATCTCTATCGGCACTGCACCGGTTGGCTCTACCTCCTCCGCGAACACCTGACTGTCAATCAACAGCAACCGTACGTGATTTATTACACCAGACAGATGCTGGCACACTCTCATGCGCTCTTCTTCAGTCCAGTGCTGTGTGGGCTGCGTAACTCCTGCCTAAAAGTGTTTAATAAAATTAATAATTCGCAGAGAAAGTTTGCTTCTAATAAATAAATTCGGAGCACTTCAAAAAAGATAAAGTAGTTTTAAAAAAGTGAACCTGATATTTGGCCCAATTTAGAACCGCTCGCCATACATCTTCTTCTTCTAAACCGAGATAATCCGACGATATCAATTTTACTAAAGCGTCTTTTGGAAGATTGCAAAACGCCGTTGTCTTCACTGTATCCATGGCATTCTCACCGATAAAAGCGAAACATTTCTCGATAAAAGATGAGCAAGCAGCTTTCCCGCCTGAAACACAAGAATAAGAATAGAAAAAATAAAGAATTTTATAATTTAAAACTTCTCCCACTAAATATATTACTTAAAATTAAATAAAAATTGACTGATTAAATTTGATTGACCCGTCTCTTAAAAATAAAATAACTAAAATAGTATCAAAATATAAAATACTAAAATAATAAAATTACTAAAAAAATATTGAACTTAATTTAATTTTATTACCTTATTTATTATTTTATTTATAGTTACAATATTCATAATTATAGTAGTATAAATATCGAAATGAATTTATAATTTTTGAGATAAATTAAATGAAAAATAATTTTCGGAATTGATAAATAAATCTCAATAATTAACGAACCCAGGAATTTTTCATTAAAAACTTTTTCAAGAATTTAATAATATCGTTACACATAATATAGTTTAAAAAATTATTCCTAATAAGAGTAATAAATGATATAAGTATCACTCTCATTTTTTATATACTGTCTTGTAAAACACATTTTATGGTAATTTTTAAATGATAGTTTTTATTAAATTACATTATTTGATAAGCATTAGACACTTAAATATTATTTTTATAGATATATGTCATTACATTATCTCTCTGTACTTTTTTATATAAAACATTTTTTGAGATCAATATTTATAAATGTTATAGGTAAAAGTAAAAAAAATGTTTTAGAATACGAAATACTATTTTAATAATTGTTAATATACATTTTAGTCATCTTGTTTATCTTTTCATATATTACACATTGATGAGAGAATGAGTCACAAAAATTCTACTTTACGATGAACAGATTGACATATCTATATTCTTAACAGCACACAATATTACATATAATTAAATTAAAACTAGATATCTGTATACATAAGATAAATTAGAGTGTGCATTCATGTAAAACACCGAATGATCCTTTTCTCACAATAAGATTTAATCATATCTCGCATTCGTTAAGACACACATAATCAAAACTTGTGGCTACTAATATCCAGGTAACAAATACAAATTCTCTGTTGATATATTCATCTATCACGCGATACATTTCTTTTCGCACGCCTAAAGAGTTATTGCAATATTAATAATCTCCCTGAGAGTTTCTCTCGTAGTCCAAAAAGAGATCCCGAATTCGGAGCCGGCCTTACCCGGCGCCCGCCAAAAATCGACGCCGAGTCGAGGTTATGTTCTTCCTTAGTTCGCAGTGGGATTGGTGTTTTGTATCAAAGTGATGTTATCGCCTTTCAACATAATGCGACCCAGCGGCTTCCTGTTTTTCGTCTTCTGATGATACTCCTCGGCATCGTCCAATACCAAGTTCATGTACTCGTCGAAGCCAACAATGTGTCCCTCGATCCGCAGGTTAACGTTCTCAAACAACCAGACTTGCACGCGTGAGCGATTTTGTAAATAGCGAAATATCAAGTTGATGGGTTGCACCATCACCTTCTGAACTTTTTGTGGTCCTTTATACGACATTTTTGCGTCGGTATTTAAAAACTGGGTGACAAATAGCAAGCAATATACTCTGCAGCCTATCCGAAATACTTCGTAAGCGTGCCGATAGTTGCCAGGAGAATAAAGAATGTGGCGATTATGGCGTCATTCGTTGTCTTCGTCAAGTTTGCCAATAATACCAACGTAACAATGATGCCAATGTAAGAATGATACCAACATAATAGTGCTGCGATCCTAGTCACTTTCGATTTCACAAAATCTCACTATCGATATCAGAAAGTTTCATTTTTCTAACAAATAATTATGACTAATGAAATAATTACTTTGACTGTTTCTGGTATTTACAAAAATATATTATTTCGACGCTAAATAATTATTGCGAGCTATTTTGAATTTTGATACATCGAGAATTGCAAATTATCATGTAACGGTGATGCATCTGTAATTATATAATATTTATTTACGAAATATTAAAATTAAAATTCTAACAACATCGAAAATAAATTAATTTAAGCGAAATTTATCAATTGCAGATCTTATTGATATTTGTAATATCTTCTATTATCTATCGTTATATCTCGGGGTGTTTGGCATTATTTAAGCATCAGTGATTTATGTTCTCGTCAGATAGCGCCACGTAATATTAAAATGATTCATATGCAACCTCGGATCTACAATAGATTTTTAAGCCTTAAGCCTTAATTTTTAAACTTAAGGAATGGACGAATCACAATCAATTATTCTCCTTGCATTCAACTGTAGTTGATCAGTCAATTTCTTACGACTTAAGGCTTAAAATACCTACTATAGATCCGGACTAAGGATATATTCACACAAACTTGCATAGCCGCATAAACGTATGCATATAAAGAAAATTATCCAATCACATTTTACGTGCGACTTTATAAGAGAAATGTGATTAGATAATTTTCTTTATGTATACATTTATGCAGTTATGCAAGTTTGTGTGGATCTTAAAGGCTGCGATTGTAAATTGTATGTAAAATGGCTTTTATACCTGCTGTATAAATTGCCAATAAACTGAATTATTTATCTTACATAAATGCAAAATGGCTATATACTGCACAGTAAGTATATCATAGAGTTTATATTACTAGAGGGAGAACGGTCTATCTAAGCAATGAGTGGAAAGTGTGAACAAGACTGAGGTAGCTATCCATACAGCGGAATAACATAATGCGGAATAAGAGCAAAACTAATCATAAACGTTCCACACCAACTGCAATTGGTGCAGAACGCTTGTAATTGGTTCCATCCTGGGAGCCACCTTGTGATTGGTAGTCACTCTGAGAGGCAGAAAATATATATTTCTGTCCTATTCAATAATTTTTCTTCTTTCTGCGCATGTGCTAAAGGAGGATAGAAGAGAACAGAAATACTAGGTTTGTTTGCCTCGCACGCTTCAACATGCCCAACATGTTCCAATCATTCGCGTCACCGGAAACCAATATGGTGACTAGATGTCGCGTTAGAGCCATAAACTTATAAAATAAACAGATCATTCATACGAGAAAAGCTGAAGACTTGATAGAAAGAGAAAGAAATAATCGCAGAGTAATTTTGTTCTTTTCTTATAAGTCTATGATTAGAGCATACATAGATCAATTAAGAATACGCTCCATTTGCCTCATCTCAGAAGATTGGGGATTTGGAGAAAAGAATAAATAAATAAAATAAATAAAATTAGAAAAATTAAAAAAAAAAATAAAATAATATTAATACAATACAAATGGATTTAGGACAAGTGAGCATTTGTCACCCAATCCATGAGACTATTCGAACGAGCACGTGCCTCATTTTGTTTCAAGTATTTTGAGTTACTTCGATTATTTGTGTGAAAAGTGTTTTTATACGAAATAAATATGCTTTTAATAAATATAAAAGTT